CCAGAACACTGCCCTTGTCACAATGTCAACTGGGTTGTTGTGAGTTGATGGTTGATGGTCGTGGGATACGTTTTGTTTGTTTGCGGTTTGTAGTTTTGTACAATACGTATGCTGTGCATTCCTTGTTGGTCTTATCTGATCGCGTCCGCGGTGCCTTACACCTTTGAGTACCTTATTTTGCCTCTTAATGTCCTTCAAAGAATGCTTTAGTTGCTGACTAGAGGTAGGTAGGAACAAAGTCAACAAGCAGGATATTACTGTTGAAGAAGAAGGCGATGGGATGAGACAAAGAGATGGATGACTGGAGCACCTGTCAGTTTTCCAGCTTCTCAACTGAAATATATCAGCTGCTGGTGCGCGATCAGAGAACGGGAAGACCATTAAGTGGGAGTGGAAGACTCCGACGAGCTGCCACTGGCATCGGCAATGCTCTTTTGACCAGCGTCCTCGAGAGCAAGAGGAGCGTTTGCGACAGCGGCAGCGGCAGAACCTCCCCCGAAGACGGAAGCGGGTACGATTTCGCCCGTGTGAGGAGCAGCATCGGCGGCCGAGTCATATCCGAGAGGCACCAAAGACGATAAAGGAGATGAGCTACCAGCAGTTGCAGCATTTGAAACAGCAGGACTGCCAGCAGGCTCAGCAGCAGGAACACCCTCAACCACGGAAACATCAGGGGAAGCAGCCGCAGTATTAGCCTTCGCAGCCTCCGCAGCCTCGCGCTTGCGATCGTACATCTCAGTGAGGATCTGGTGTCTCGCCCACTTCCACTCGAGCTCGAGCATTGAGTACTCCGGATCAAGATAGATTTCCGCCGGCTTGGGGCTGCGGTCGGTCGTGGGCGGAATGCAACCCGACTTGAGCTGCTTGATGCGGTGCTCCTTACTTTGGGTGCGGTCGTAGACTCGCAAGAGCCTCCTGCGCTCGTTCGTGGTGGTTTCCGGGAGTTTGCTGTTCTTGTCGGTCTTGTTCAGCTTGCTGCTGTCCAATCCCTTGCCATCCTCTGTGCCGGCTGGTTTGGTTGCTTTGACCTTGGTCGTGATCCTGATGAATACTTTGCCGGTGTCATCAGGCATCTGGCCATACGGCTGGGCATTGCAGATGCCAATCTCCTCAAGGTGAGGGACGTGATCGAAGTAGGTGTTTGCGACGGTCGCTTCATTGTCATAGACCCTCGCATAGCTAACAGGCTCGTAAGCGTAGTTTCTCAGCATAGTGAACTTCTTGATGTTGCTGTGAGCCATGAGGGCTTCGATCATGTTGGCCTGATTAGGTTGGATGTCGGCAAAAGATGGCACTGATCGGTGATTGCGCAATGGAGCTGGACTAAGCGACGCTTACATCTTCAACCTGGGTGTGGGAGACGTTGAGCTCCAAAAATAGATGCTTGAGTTGAGGAAGACGTTCTAGAGGGACTGTTATAACATCGGATGTCAGCGCGGGACAAACTAAGAACTGCATTCTCTGCAGGCGGGTAGGGCTTGTAGAGTGGGCATCGGGTAATTTACTTCGGGGAGTTTGATGTTGGCGTCTGAGTCTGTTGTCTCTATTCCTGAGAAAACAAGCTGTCTCAATGAATTGCAAGCTCTGAAGCGATTTGAAAACTTCATTATCCGCACTTCCACACGGCTGTGGAACGGCTCCTCAAGACACGCAGATTGGGGAAATAACGAATCATGGTTGCCATGTTGGCGCAAAGAGAGTCTAGTGTGAGACTCTTGACGCCAGGAACGGTATGGTTGAAAAGTGCCTTTCTCAGCGTGTCGTACGGCTTTTTCTGACAATGAATCTCAAGTGAGACGAGGTTTTCCATGTTTGTGATGATGCTGCGAACTTGATCTTGGAAGGAAGATTCCCTGTAATCATCCCAGCATGAACGGCTCACATACTCACGACCAATGCCACCCAGGGGTCTGATAACCAGATGCCTGTAAGCAGGTGAGATCCATTAGCACTCTGAAATTTGTCGAAGTACGGCAGAGAAGGAAGCTAGTTAGCAGTCGGCTTGAGAGTACGGGATTACTTACTTGACTGGGGAGACGAGCAAAGAAACGTGATTGAGATAGAAAAGGCGCATGAAATCATCCCTTAAAAAATGGTCATACTCTGCCCAAACCATCAGGTAATCGTGTGCACCAAAGCCATGGCAAACATCCCGAAACACCTTGCACGTCTGCGAAAGACCGAGAAGCCTCTCATCGGTCAAGTAATCGGCACCACGTTTCGCCATGGATGGTGCATACCCGTATGGCGTGACCTGCTGCTGGGCGTATATGGGGGTCTTTGGTGGAGAATAATGCCAGTCATGAAAACCGCCCATGACATGACACAATCATGTTGAGGAATTCCTTAGGAAGCTTGGTGATGAAATCTCTCGGATCCGGTTGGGGTCTGATCAAGGCTTCATAGCGGTCGAGGTTGAGGGCCCAGTAATAGAGTTGCTGCCTCTGCTGCACAAGACACTGCTGGCAGAAAGGGCACGGGGCAGCCTATCTGAAAGACCATCTGGCCCATAGCATCGTAGGAAATGTGCAGTAGTTGATTGACCGCCGTTGGCTGATTGATACCAGACAATGCATTGTTGTGGGTGGGGAGCCGCAACGGCAGGGGCCGGGATGTTTTGCTCGGTATTGGGAGCCATGTCATCCTGAACACCCAAAGACGTCGCAGAAGAATGAGGGCAAGCCATGGAGTTGCTGGATTCGAAGCTTTCCTGAGTATTGATGGAAGCCGAGGTTTGCTGATTCTGACCAGTGCCTTGGCTCGTAGTAGAAACGACGACATTGTTCTCGACGCCATTCTGTATCATAGGAGTGCGCAGAGAAGGATTGTTGGGCGAGGTTGGACTCGAGGCGAGTCTAGCCATAGGTAGAGACATCTTGAAGAGTCTTTGACCAATAGCTAAGCGGTGCTGAAGTTGCAAAGCGAAGTGGCTGTCTGTTGAGATAACCGGAATGCTCGGCAACAGAGCAATGTGAAAAAACAAATCCGGGTTGAGAGGGCAAAGGATTGGATATTAATAGTTCAGGGAAAAAGGAAAAAAGGACCTGAGTCTTGGTGAATAGGTCCAGGTCCCTTGACAACCAGGTGGTGTATCCGTCTAACCTTTAGATTCACCATTATATTTTGCCACAAGATTTAGGAGTATTCGTGAAGTGGTGCATAACGACATGCTTTTACGGGACAGGAAGGTATTCCCGTTCGCTAGAAACCTGAGAGCATTCATTCAGGTGGTTGAAGGGTGTGAATGATATCGATAGAAAGAGTACAGTGCGTGTGGGTTCCCAGAGGTTCAACGAGACAGCCAGCCTTTGGCCGACCCCGTTAGGCTAGTCGAGGATAGTGAGGCATCCTACAAAACCTGTAGCAGTGCTGCAGTAAAGGGTTGTGTTGATTCTAAGCCGTTATCGTAGGGCAAGGGACTGGAATGCTGCTGCCAAAGCTGCTACCGCTTGGTGTGGCTGGAATGCCGGGGCCGTCCTTTGTTTGCTTGCTTGAACATCGATTACTTCGTCGTTATAGAACCTGCAAGCACTCAGCGCAAGCGCAAACTCACACGAGATATTGATGAGGCACAGGGGCTAGAATATTCTAAATTGGAAGCTTTTATTCCTTCTCGATGGAATTTGAACAAGTGATGAGGTTCAGTATGTTTGGCCATTCTGCAGAAATATTAGTAACAGACACATATGACACGGAAAGTTTGCGAAAATATCCAGCATGAAAACACCGCTCACAGGTCGAATGTGCCCTATCATCCACACCCAAAGTCATAAGCTTGTGAACATGCTGTTAATTTTTTTATGCAGCGTCTCCTGTAGCAACCACCGCCTCATACACCGACGGCTCTATGATAGCT